CTCTCGTTTTTCTTGGTTAGCCAAGTTCAAGGTTTTTCAGTTTTATCTTTTCAAAGAACCAACTCTTAGTTTCATTGGTCTTATTGTGTATTTTTTGTCCCCTTAGGTCTCTGTTTCATTTCTTTCAACTCTGCATTTATTATTTCCTTCTTTCTACTGAATCTGGGCTTTGCTTTTTTTCTAGCTTTGTAGATGTAAAGTTAGGTTGATTATTTGATATTTTTCTTGCTTATGGAGGTAAATCTGCTATCATCTTCCCTCTTAGACCACTTTGGCTACATCCTACAGATTTGGTATGTCATAATTCTGTTTTCATTGTTCTCTCTCTTTTTTTAATTTCTTAAAAAAATTTTTTTAAATGTTTTATTTATTTTTGAGAGAGAGAGAGACAGTGTGAGCAGGGGAGGGCCAGAGAGAGAGGGAGACAGAGAATCAGAAACAGTCTCCACGCTCTGAGCTGGCTGGCAGCACAGAGCCCGACTTGGGGCTAAAACCCACAACCTGTGAGATCATGACCTGAGCTGAAGTGGGACACTTAACTGACTGAGCCACCCAGGCAGCCCATCTTTTTTTTAAAATTTCTTTATTGGCATCTTTTATGGTCCAGTGGTTGTTTAGTAGCATGTTGTTTCATTTCTACATTTTTATAGTTTTTTTCCAGTTTTCTTTTTGTAACTGATTTCTAGTTTCATACCATTGTAGTCAAAGAAGATACTTGGTATGATTTCAGGCTTTCTGAATTTACTGAGACTTGTTTGTGGCCTAACATGTAATCGATCTGTCTTGGAGAATGTTCCATGTACACTTGAAAAGAATGTGTATTCTTTTGCTTTTGTGTGCAATGTCTGTATATATCTATTAAGTGCATCTGGTCTAATGTGTCATTTAAGGCCAGTTTTCCTTATTAATTTTGGGTTTATATGATCTCTACATTGATGTCAGTAGGATGTTAAAGTCCTCTACTATTAGTGTATTGCTGTCAATTTCTTCCTTTAGGTCTGATAATGTTGGTTTTATATATCTTCATGCTCCTATGTTGGATGCATATATATTTAAGAGTGTTATGTCTTTTTGTTGTTTTGATCCCTTTACACTATGTAATGCCCTTCTTTGTCAATTATTACAGTCTTTGTTTTAAGTAAAGTTTTAAGTCAATGTGGGGCTTGAACTAATGACCATAAAATCAAGAATCACATGCTCTATCAACTGAGCCCATCAGGCATCCCCTATTATCATAGTCTTTGTTATAAAGTCTACTTTGTCTGCTATGAATATACCTACACCAGCTTTATTTTCATTTCCATTTGCCTGAAATATCTTTCTCTACCCCTTCACTTTCAGTCTGTGTGTGTCCTTACTTCTGAAGTGAGTCTCTGGTAGATAGTATATAGATGGGTCTTCATTTGTCCCTTTAGTCACTCTGTCTTTTGATTGGAGAGTTTAGTCCATTTAAAGTAACTAATTAAGTACTTACTACCATTTTGTTAATTGTTTTCTGCCTGTTTTTATAGTTCCTCTCTTTTCCTTTCTTCTTTCTCTCTTCCCTTGTGGTTTGATCATTCTTTTTGTATTTTGTTTAGATTCTTTTCTCATCTTCTTTTGTGTATTCACAATTAGTTTTTGCTTTGTGGCTTACCATAAGTTCACATACAAGTTCCTATGTGTATAATGGTCTGTTTTGAGTTAATAGCAACATGACAAAACTTGACAATTTTTTCTCTCCCCTCCCATTTTATATTTTTGATGTCACATTTTTACATCTTTTAATTTTATGCATCCTTTAGTTATTATAGTTTTAGTTAACTGTACTATCTTTGTCTTTTCACCTTCATAGTTGGTTTGTAAGTGGTTTATTCACTACTTTTACTATACATTTAACTTTTCCAGTAGAATTTCATATATATTCCCTTGTTATTAATTAGTATCATTTCTTTTCAGTTTAGAGAAGTCACTTTAACATTTATTGTGATACTAGGTTAGTGATGATAAGCTCCTTTATAGTTTTTGCTAATGCGGAAAATTCTTAATCACTCTTTCAATTTTGAATAACTTGCCGAGAATTCTTGGTGATTTTTTTTTCCCTTTCAGCACTTTGAATATGTTATGCCACTCTTCTGGCTAGCAAGGTTTCTGTTGAAAAATCTTCTGGCATACTCATGGGAAGCTCTTGATGCTTTCAACATTTTCCCTTATCCTTAACTTTTACAATTTTAATTATAATGTGTCTTGTTGTGGACCTCTTTGGGTTCATTTTATTTGGGACTCTATGCTTCTTACACCCGGATTACACTCAGATTAAAAGTTTTCAAGGCTTATTTTTTCAAATAAGTTTTCTGGCTTTTTTTCTCTCTCTTCTTTCTTAAACCTCTATAATATGGACATTATTCCACTTGATACCTCAGAGGTTCCTTAAGTTATCTTCATTTTTTAAAAGTTCTTTTTTCTTTTTGCTGTTTTGCCCAGGTGACTTCTATTCTTTGTCTTCTAGCTTGTCGATCTGGTTTTTGGCTTCATCCAGTCTGCTGTTGAACTCCTCTCGTATACTTTTCAGCTCAGTTATGGTATTCTTCAGCTCTGTAACTACTGTATGAAACTTTCTTATATTTTCTGTCTCTTGGTTGAGGATCTCCATGTTCATCCATTCTTTTCCTGAGTTCAGTGGGCATCTTTATGACCATTACTTTAAACTCCTTATCAGGTAGGTTGCTTACCTCTGTTTCATTAATATATTTTTTCTGATGTTTTATTTTATTTGTTTTGTTGTTGTTTGTTTGAAATGTAATGTTTTGTTGAAACATTTTGTCCTACTCTCTGTGTTTGTTTGTATGTAATAGTCAAATCAACTATGCCTTCCAGTCTTGAAGAATGTCCTTGGACAGGAGTTGTCATGTGGAGCCCAGATCTACAATCTTCTCTGATGACCAGAGCTAGGCGCTCAAGTATTGTCCTCTCTAGGGGCTGCACACAGCCCTGTGCTGTGGCAACAAGGTTGTATGTGTGGGATTGGGGTAGGTGGGATTAGCACTTGGCCTGGCTATGACGTGTGGTTTTGCTCTGACTATGGGCATGCTTACCAGGTCTAACAGTTTAGAGGGATGGTTCCAAAATGGTGCCTCCCAATACCGAACTAATCAAGGTAGGAAGAGGTCACATATATGGTCACCACCAATATCTCTGTCTCTGGATAAAGTCCCATCATTTTCCTGCCTCTCTGGCAGGTGCTATAAGTTGAGTGAGTTTCCTTCACATATAACCCAGGCACTTTTCAATGGCATTTTTATGCTACGTCCCAGAGCGAGTGAATCTGTGCATGAGTCCTTAAACGTGGGTTCTCCATTCCCTTCAGTTTTACAGTTATCTTGGATGTAATCCTCATTGATTTTCAAAGCCTGGTATTTAGGGGGCTCATATCTCTCATGTAGGATCTAAGGGTTGGAATGCCTGGTGTGGAGCACAAACCCCTCACTTCTTAGGGAAAAGTTACCTACTTTTGAAATCCCTCCTGATTGTGGATCATGGCACTTAGGGTGGAGTCTTTTTGGCAAGGCAGTGTCTTTGCCTCTCCTACTCATCTCAGTGCTGTCCTTTTCGTCCTTTATTGTAGAGGCTCTGTTCGTCCAATTTGCTGTACTTTTTCAGTGGAATTTATTCCATAAATCATTGTGTATTTGTCAGATCCATGAAAGGGAGTGAGTTCACATCTTCTTATGCCGCCATCTTGAACCCAACTCCAGCCTCTCTTATATTTATTGCCAGCCATAGCTTGCTTTCTTACAAGCTCAGAAGGCTTAGATATAGCTGCTGTGCAAGGTTTCTGAAAAGGAAAATGTCTTTGCTGATGGATTATGCCCTGATCATGGCCCTCTGGCAGATATTTCTTCCTGGAAATAGAGCAAAGCATTTTCTATTTCATAAATTAAGATAAATCATTCCCTCACCATTTGTCTATAGCTCTATCAGACCGTGCCAAACAGCCTTATTGTTTGAATTGTTAGATTTCCAAGCTTATACAAAATCCAAGTTTTATTAATAGCACATAATTATCACACGCTTCAATTTTCTATAAACACAGAAATTCAGTAATTAGCTTTAGAATTATATTACAATATGAAAGTAGAACCACAATGGCTATAAGTGCCATTGTGTGTTACATTTCTAAAAATAAAAAAATAAAATGTTCATTATCTTGTCAATGATTCAACTCTACACAAAGCACAGAGTGGAACTGCCCAGTATTCATTCAACTGCTTTGTGCCAGCTCTAGGGACATTAGTCACAAAGGACATGCTAGTGCTGTGAAGGCCAATAAATAAGGGCCTCGTCCTCCTGCCTCACAGAATGGCATTTTAGCATCTAGATGAGCCACGGCACTTACTATTATATTATTATTGCTTCCTTTCCCCAAGTGAAACCGAATCACTGTAGAATCTCTTCCCAAGAAGGAAACTCCCTGTCTAGCAGTGAGCTGGTGCTTGTTAAGATAAATGCATTCACTCGCTTTGACCACTAAGGGGCTGCCGGCTGCATTTTGGGAAAGCAAGAGAAGGGAGCGCTATGAAAAGCTGTCTGTCAACTGGATAGAATGCGCAGCCCTGGACTGGCACCTAAGCAGGCCATTCCATACACTTGAAATCTCAGAATCTACAGGAGGCATATTTGCCTGATTTTGGATTCTTTTCCCTTTAAGCAAATGGACATTTTCATACCCAGCCCTGTGGGTAAACTGTGGTGGTATATGGATCCCACTTTCTCCCTTCCCGAGGAAGCACAATGTTTTCATGTCCATGGAGACACAATGTGTTGGAGCAGGGTGAGAAGACCCCTGGGAGCCTATGATTACTGGAAATTCTACCAGTTCTACTGCAGGGTTTGGACTCCTCCCCTTCTGCTGTCTTAGTTTTCTGAGATTTCTGAAATATGAATATGAATGAGAAAATCTCAACTTTTATAGCGCCTAAGAGTATTAGCTGGAGGAATACTGGTGGTAACTTCCCTCTTACCTTTCAGTGTTCTCAATGTCTGTGGAAACCTGCCAGGAATGTTGCGGAATATCTACAGGGGATGACGAGGAGTCCTCTAGAGCAGGTGTTTCGGTACCCTCCTCAATTTTGCAATCCAAACTCTTGGTTCCCCCACCAGGCTCCTTTCCTAAAGAGGGGGGAGGGGGGGTTGGTAAAGAAAAGGATAAGAAATCAGAAATGCAAGCTCTATAGCCACAGTATCATTGCAAAGATTGTCTATGCTTTGAGTCATAGGCTCCATTAACCCTAAAAACTTCTGAATATTAAATACAATACTAATTCAGTTATTTATGAGTAATACTGAATATAGATACCTATCTCTGCTTCTAGCTATATAAATATGTGTGTGTGTGTGTGTGTGTGTGTGTGTGTGTGTGCATAGCATGTTTCACAACATTCTGGGAAAACCCGAAGGTCAAGGTAAAAGTGAGGGCTCCATCTTTGACGGAATACTGGTGCTCTATAATCCATTCTTAGTGAGACAGATCAGGTCAGCTTGAGGGGGGGTTTCAGCCTGTGAAATCATGCTGGTTTTTGGTTCTTTGATTCAGGAGCAACTACGAGGGCCAAGATCAGGTGACATGCCGCAGGTAGAATGGGAGCTCCTACCCTTGTCTCTGACTCTGACACTCTGACACTGACTCTCTTGGATTCATCTCCCTTAAATAAATGTGAATTTGGGGACCCAGTATGTGGAAAGTAGTTATATTAGTATGTGGGAAATAGCAGAGATTGTGGACTTGCCTTTCATTTCCTTGGCTTTCCAACCTCCTTCACATTATCCTTCTCTGAGGAAACAGTTCAGCCTCAAGATCCAGCCTTCCGCTTCTGAGAACATAAAGTGCCCTGTACATACTGGGTAGCCATCCACAGCCATGCACTGCCACTCTGCTAAGACTTGTATTTACCATGATTGATCTCACGTGAATACATCAATACTTTCTAGAAACAAATCTCCAAATTGGTTCAGCAATAAATTCATATGAAATGAAATCGAAGTCACAGTCTATGGCCCAGATATCCTCTGTCAATGTCTTTTATTCTGCTCTGAGCCCTTGCCATCTGCAAGGGTTATCCTGGTGTCATGGAAATGGCATTTGAAGCCCAAGAAGTGAGTTTTATCAGTTCACTCACTCACTCATTCATTTATTCACTTAAAAATATTTCTTGAGTGTCAGCTAAGGCTCAGGTACTGGGCTTGATGCTAGATTGTTTATTATTCTTTTATCTCATTTTATTTCTCTTATGAAGATACAGCTCTGGACTAGTTGGTAAGAATGTATTATATCCCATATTGTTGAATATTCACGAGATAGCAGCCACCCCAGATTACCTCTTAGCTCAGTTTTCCTAGTACTGATGTGTGTTTTGCATGGTTAAAAAAAATAAACAAAAAATTAAAGTAAACACACTTGTGAATAGGATGGTAAAATCTAATGGGAAGATTTTCCCTTGGATTCCTGACCGAAGGAGACTAACAAAAATCTCATCCTTGTAATTTCTAACCTATATGGCAGCAACACAAGGAAACAGAAACAAGCAATTAAGTGATAATTAACTGTACACCATTTATCGACCTAGAGTAGAAATGGACCTCTGAATATTCAGCCAAAGCACACACACACACACACACACATTTGCTGATGAGAACTTCTCATCCTTTTGTGTATACTTTATGCACATTGATCCTAGGTGATGGAATTGCTTTTCCAATTTTATGGTATGCTGTGGGGGCGAAATTTAATTAAGCACATAATTTAGCATCTTACCGTTTCACAGTTGGAGGGCACTGACCTCTTAAAAGCATTTGCATTGCACTTCCTGGGAAAGTGCAACAAATACGCCCATCTGCTACCGCCCCCCACCTCCCGCTGTGCAGGGTCAGCCCAAGGGTACAGTTCTGCGGGAGTGGCTAAGAACTGAGTGAGAAGCAAAAGGCGGGGGGGCAGGGAGGGGGATGGCTCCCAAACCCCAGCCCTCTGCTTTTCAAAACTCTGAAGGATTGGGCCATCTGAAAACACACATGGGTCCTGGGGTATTCCTGTGGAGTTGAAATGCTTTGGGAACGCAGTATGCTTTGGGCAGCAAACCGTAGAGAAAGAAGATAACATAAACAGACTTAATTTTCTGCCTATGGGTTTTGCTTGGCTTGGGGCCACAGTAGCACCTGTCCTGTGGTCAGGACAATACAGCTCAAAGCTCTCATTCAAATGGGAACAGGAGAGGACATGAGGTACAAAGCCACTCTTTCTTGGAGTCCTCTTTCTTAAATTTTTTTTTTTAATGTTTATTTTTGAGAGAGAGAGAGAGAGACCAAGTATTGAGTGGGGCAGGGACAGAGAGAGAGGGAGACACAGAATCTGAAGCAGGCTGAGCTATCAGTACAGAGCCTGACATGGGGGTCCAACTCACAAACCATGAGATCATGACCTGAACTGAAGTCAGAGGCTTAACTGACTGAACCACCCAGGCGCCCCTGGAGTCCTCTCTTTACCTCCCTCATGTATATACTTTTTACGGGCAAAAGCATAAATAGAATCCAATCTACCATCAGTTTGTTTCCACTTACTGCCTGTAACAATTCTACTACTTATGTAAGACACATATCATTCTATGACCTTTTCAAAGTAGAATAACTATTCATATATTCCTGAAACACACCTGTGAGCTTGTCGTCTCACCAGGTCATCTCTTCCTTTTCTTCATTTTCAGTGACTAGTTCTGACTCTGCTAATGCAGATGAACAAAAATAAAAGCCTCGAACTTTGGGCTTGCACTTGAGTGCTTTCTATCAGCTCACAAAATCTCTGCAGAATTTCAATCATGTTGTATCTTCTCTGGCTGAAACATCTTCAAAGACAGAAGGGATCAGTATGCATTTAAGGGGTTTTCAACTGCAGAATATTTACAGGGTCAAGTTTACTCTGCAAGTAGATATTAATTGCTTTCATTTACTGATAGCACTGACTTTATGTTGGGCATCCCTTCCCAGTACAGTATTTGCTTATTGCCTTTATAGTACTTATCTCTTTTAGAAATTATCTTGCTTATGTATTTTTTGAATGTTTATTTTGAGACAGAGAGAAAGACAGAGTACGAGCGGAGGAGGGGCAGAGACACAGGGAGACACAGTATTCAAAGCAGGCTCCAGGCTCCAAGCTGTCAGCACAGACCCTGACAGAGGGCTCCAACTCACTAGCTGGGAGATCATGACCTGAGCCGAAGTTGGATGCTTAACTGACTAAGCTGCCCAGGTGCCCCTTATGCATTTGTTACCTAAATACATTTTTAATAGTATATAAATTTGAATACGGTTTTTCTTGTAACTGCGTCATATCTCTAATACGGTGTATTTATGGCTCCTGCTTTCTTTGTACACCACATTTCTTGGGTTCCACATCTTCAGCTTTCTTGGATTCAGTTTTCATTTTGTTGCAGCATATCCTTGACTAATTATCGCAGAGAATATCTGTGAAAATACATTTTCTTCTCTCTCTTTCTTTGTGATCACACTTACATTTTAATTGACCAGATATAGAAATCTATCTTCAAAGTCAGTTTCTTTTAGATTTGGATGATACTGTTTCCTTTCTTCCATCCATATCCAGAGTAACTTGTCTGTAGCCTGTTTACGGCTTTCTGAAAACTTGTTAGAGTGTTATCTTTACATTTTTTGATTTATGGAATGGTTCCTAAATATGTGATGCAATAGCTTCTTTTAAAAAAATTTTTTAACATTTATTTATTTTTGAGAGATAGAGAGAGGCAGATCATGAGCAGGGGAGGGGCAGAAAGAGAGAGAGACACAGAATTGGAGCAGGATCCAGGCTCTGCGCTGTCAGCACAGAACCCGACGTGGGGCTCGAACCCATGAACTGTGAGATCATGACCTGAGCAGAAGTAGGATGCACAACCGACTGAGCCACCCAGGCGCCCTGGGATAGCTTCTTTTAATGTTAATCTTTTTTTGGCATTTGATTGGCATTTGCAGTCTATTATCTCCCATTGTTTTATTTTGAAAATTTGCAAACCTATGACAAAGTTGTAAAAAATACAGTGGACACCCAAATACTGCAGTTTCACAAACTGCTAACATTGAGCTATATTTTCTTTTATCTCTCTCTCTCTCTCTATGTGTATGTATATTTATAGAGGTTTCATATATATAGACTGTATTGATTATATATAATTTTTATGTATAAAGTCACACATACATATAAATATAATTTTTTATGACCCATTTAAGAGTAAGTTGCAGACATTAATGACACTTTAACTACTTCAGCTTATATCTCTTAAAGAACAGGATCTTTTCATACATAACCTCAAAACAATGATAGTGTCAAAAAATTATTTAACTTGCATTAACTATGATTCGATGCAATTTGATACAATACTTTTATTTAATACATAGTTTATATTCACATTTCCTGAATTGTTCCAGTAATGTTTTTTTATCTTTTTTTTAAAGTTTTAAAAAAATGTTTATATACGAGAGAGAGAGAGAGAGATGCACACACAGAGCGTGAGGGGGGGAGGGTCAGAGAGGGAGGAAGACACAGAATCTGGAGGAGGCTCCAGGCTCTGTCTGAGCTGTCAGCACAGAGCCCAATGCTGGGCTCGAACCTATGAGCTGTGAGATCATGACCTGAGCCGAAGTTGGATGCTTAACCAACTGAGCCACTCAGGCTACCCTTCTAGCTTTTATTTTAATTGAAGATTCCATTTAAGAATTGTGCACTGCATTTAGTTGTCCTTTTTCTTTTAAAACTGCACCCTTGCCTTTTTTTTTTTTTGCCCTTCATGTCATTAACATTTTTTAATGTTTTATTTTATTTTATTATTTTTATTTTGAGAGAAAGAACAAGCAGGGGATGGGCACAGAGGGAGAGAGAGAGATTCCCAGTCAGACTCCATGCTGTTAGCATGGAGCCAAATGTGGGGCTCGAATTCATGAACTGGGAGTTCATGATCTGAGCTGAAATCGAGAGTCAGACACTCAACCTACTGAGCCACCCAGGCGCCCCCAAGTTATTAACATTTTTGAATGACAAGGTCGGGCTAGTTTTACAGAAAGTCTTTCCGTTTGGATTTTCTTATTGTTTCTGCATGTGTGGATTCAGAGTA